AACTGTCGATGAAGCAAAATCTCAACCAGAATGTTCCAATCCATACATTAACTTCTGTTTAGAATTTATTTTTACATTTTAGTCTTCAAAATTTGAGTCATGTCCATACTACTTTGAAAGATGTTGAGAACACCATCATTATTTATCAAGTTACACAATAGCGTTATGAGGTTTCCGTATCACTTAGGCCCAGTTACACCATCGTCTGTCAACTAAACCGCCAGATAACAGTCTGTTAGTCCATAAGGATTACACATGGATAAATTTATCTTGGGGTAAAAATAGCTAACAGGGCTCAGTGCAATCGGGCCATAGATACTTATTCATATTCATTCATGGTCCCGAATTAATCCCCACTTAACCCTAATACACCCGTGTACTACCCTGACTATAGTCTGATGCAGCCCTTGTTGAAATCTAGCTAAGTCCTGACTAAATTCCAATTGAACTCGGGTTAAACACGGATTAAACCCGAGTTAATCCCGAATAAATTTCAGCTAAATCGCAACTAAACCGTGATGAAACCCTGACTAAAATTACGTTCGGGTCTCATGAAGGTTTCATTACGGGACATTAAAAAAAAAGAAATATTACGCCAAAATTCAATATATTTTTGCTAATAAACTAGCAATTTGCTTCCGAATGGAATTTCTACGATGATGTATTTTAAATTTAATTCAATGAATCAGTAAATTCAACGTTGCCCCAACGTTAGCAGCTAACATTGTTTCAACCCTGGCAGCCAACACAGCCTCAACGCTGGCAGGCAATATTGCCTCAACATTTATAGCCAACATTGCTCTAACGATGGTAGTCAACAGCCCCAACGTTGGTAGCCAACATTGCGCCAACGTTAACCCTTTGTTACTCGCGTGAAACTGCCCGACGTGGTGGCTCGCATCGCGGCGCCGCGCCATAATGTAAATCTGAGCACGCCGTTGCCACAATTCATTCGGAGAGTGGACTAGCTGATCTCCCGGCAGTCCCAGCAGTCACAAATATGGCAACGCCGCATGAAATATTTCCATGACACGATCAGTCGCCTCGCGGCACGCGCCGTATTGTTGATTTCCAGTTAGGATAGGAGTGGATTTTCGTTAATCAGGGGCTTGGCCGTGGTTAGAAATGGCAGAGAATGCCTTTAAATATAATCAGTGAGGCATCCCAATTTGTTCATATTTTTTAATGAGTTTTTTTAAAGTTATACTAAAAATTAGAATTTCACCGGTGCGGTGCCATGGACGTTAGTAACGAAGGGTTAAATTTTTTTACCAAATAAAGTAATAATCAAGAATATTTGATATCACAATTGGATTCATTTAAACAATTATTTTTCAGTCATCGTTGAAAAACGATCGGTCACATACACACATCCGGTCATGGTCTAAAATAGCATATTTGAACTTCTGAGGCCAAAATTAGTTATTCTGACATAAATAATTTGAAATTTCGGGTTTCACGAATGCAATGCTTCTTCCCGGAAGCAAAAAGAAAAAAATTGGAAAATGAAAATTTTAAAAATTATAAATCTGTTCAGAAGTAAATTGATAATTAGTTAGTAATAATAACCAAACCCATTTATAATGCAATTATCTATTTATTTTTGGGTACTGAAGAAAATTTCTAGTCCCGAGATTCACTTCGTACTATGGACGACTGCAATTGAAGCCAGACCTCTACGATTCCTTTCATCTTTGATAATGCCATTACATTCCTTGTCCAACCAGTACTCTCAGGTTGGGCTTGAAGTATCCGGAATGTCATCAATATTATCGAAGTTACACGCCCCCAAACCTACAAAGTGGCCACTTTTTCCTTAACACCCTTTTTCTCGCCACTAAAAGATAATAGATAACCACTATCTTTCAACAATCCAAAGATATATCCAACTGAATCAAGCATATTGTTGAAAATTGAATAGCAAACTATCTGATTACATGATATATATCATCCCTACACACTTGAAGCTCGATACCGCGGGTGGGTTAACAAAGTGGTACGGGTTCTTATCGTATTATATGGCTTATGGGTATTGGATGGGTAGAAACTCGGCTCGTTGATGGTGTGTGCCAGTGGTTTGGTACTGGTACTTTATATCCTCCCACCCACCTCCCTCTCGCAACGAATGCGTTCCCCTTGAAAAGTATCGCTTTCTCGCTCGCCCACTGCTTTTGGATGTTGGGTTATACTGCATAAAACTCTCAACGGTGCTTGGGCAATGCGTCTCCCGGTACAATAGACCGCCCTGTCATGTTTCATACCGTACAATGATACTCTCTCTCACCCTCCCTTGCACTTCGACTTGCCTACTCGCCCGTATACCCAACTCGAAATGCTCGTATCTCAAGATAATGTGTGCGAATCATCGCCGCATGTGCCTCTTGGTTGAGAGAACGAGGGAGAAAGAAAACATTAAGTGTTTGATTGAGCCACTTTGCGTACTTTTTGCTCCCTTTCTCACTCCTCTCCCTTTGTTTCATCTACTATTTCTTTCACAATTAAATCATCCCGAGTTTCATTCCATTCGCAGATGGCAAAAAAAATTAGCACACATTTTCTTTTGCTATTTTTTGTAGGCTAGGGAGAGATGTCGAGTTCCCTTCGATGTCGTATCTACACACGCGCAAGCACTCGAAAGCGATCGCGCGTTAAATGCGCCGGCCGGCGTACGGTCGCGTGTCGCACGCGTGCCCTTTCTGTACCCATTTTGGAAAAGGGAGAAAGTTTTCATCTACGAACGGGGCCGTAATGCTCTATCCGGACGCGGAACGTATACTGTACACGGTCAGACGGAGAGGGTTGGTCTCTATGTGACCTTAACTTCCGTTGAGATTCTCGCATTTGGAATGTTTCATGGGTTTGGAGCCTCTGCGATGGTCACCTTCTGTTTGGATTTATGAAATTGCATTGAGACCTATTTTGTAATGAACTAGCCGAAGGAAATAACTCCGCAGCAAACTTATTGATTATTCTCTGAAAGTCTTTTATTGCAGAAAATGTCGCTGATCTATTAAAGAAATCTTTGAACGTTTCCCTCTTAACCAACGAGTCGCGGAATTCTATGCAAAAAAATAGCTATGAAATCTTCTCGAGTTATTTCTCTTCCCTACTTGGCTACAGAATTGCGATAACTCAAGAATCAGTTACCCCGCCAGAATGTACATTCATTCAAGAAATTTTTCATCAAGAACTGCGGCTTCATCTTTATTGCGATTATTGGAGTACATATTCAAGCCTAAAACCCTTGAAACATAACAATTCCATTCTAAAGATTCCCCCATTGTCCTCTCGTATTCAAGTTCTGAAGTATTGCCAACAAAAAAAATGAACAAACTGTAGTGGATTCGTCAGCATCGTGTCTACTGTCCTTTTGAAAAAGAAAACCTCGAAGAAACATCAAGAAGAAACAGTCAATGCAACCACCACCTGTCGTGTCAGTGGGTAGATAGGTGGATAGGTTTTGGTCGTTGGGCTCCTAGCAACCAAGCCCAAAGTTGTCCTCTTTCACCCTCAAAAAGTGAATACTCACCCAAGTGTTATATATTCACCCAGTTTACACCCATGGAGATGGCGCTACACTCATTAACACTAGTGGATAGTTTACCTCTGTGCGCATGTGTCAAGATATTGGAGATGTTGGTAGAGGTTCCATAAGACCCGCCCCTATCAGCCCAGTGGATGCCCGGTATCCCAGGATTCAGCTTTCAACCCTCAAAGTATGCACCAGATACCACCAGCTATGTTGGGGGGCGGGACTGAATGTGTAGGCGCCAGGGTTCTTCCCACTCACGCCACCCAGTATCGCTCGGCGTGGTAAACCACGATGATCGCCTCAACGAGTACACTGACGTTGTGCGAAGGTGCTAATGATAAGCCCATTGGTTTGAATTTTGGTTAATCCGGTTAATCAGTTTTCACGTATATCACGATATGACAGGGATTCCCACGGTTTCTATGCTGGTGTTGATAGACTGAGTGTTATTACAATTGTTTCATTCATAAACAATAAGTTTTGGTTCGTTTTTTATTTATTGATGAGTTTTATTGTTGGGGTTGCTGTGGCTGATAAGCTAGCTGGTGATTCTGTTAGGGTCTTGGGGGAGGAATAAACAACAGCGTGATTGAAAGTGGACTGAGAGGGGCCGTGTTGGGCCATCTACAGGCGGTGGAGGAGTCTTCCACCGCCAGCGAAATGCTGGATCTCAAGGGGAGCAGTAGCACAGCTGCTGAACTACCTCGGACAACAGCTTTTACCAATTTGTCCATGCTTTTTGCTGGTATGTTGTCATTATTATCACCTTCATGAGTTTGGGTAGATAAAAAATATCATTGGGTGAATGGGTGAATACTGACATCAGGGTGTTTTTAATGTATTGATCTCATTGGCTATCAATTTTACAAGAGAATCGTAAAAATAATCTTCCATGAGATAAAATTGGCCTAAATTGTATTCCAAACACTTGCGAATCCTGATCATCACCCAGAATCACTGATCACAGTCAAACATCATCTCCACATCCCGGAACCACTCAGGTTACATTAACGGAAGCACAAGAAATTCGAGTCTCCCATTAATGGACACTAGGGGAAACGATAGTCAAAACGAATCCTAAGGGGAGAAAAGCGCAAAAACTCTATTCCCGTGTTAAGGATACACACGAGAAAGATGGCTTGTTTGCCAAAGGAGTGAGTGTATAGAGGTGTGTGCTCTCTGGGGTGTCTGCTCCCCTGGTCAATGGTTTGGGCCCACCTCGACCCCTCGAGGCTTCGTTATGTACACATTCGCGCCAATAACCGAGGCCAAATGAAAATATATCTGTCGGTAAACAGACCGCCGGCGAAATTGGTGACGGCGTTACCAATTTTTTTTACTTCCGCAGAGATGCAACGAAATTGGACATTCTGTTGACAGCATTGCTTCCTTATGAGAGTATTGGGATTTCATAATTAATAATTTATATGGGATCATTATTTAACTTGTTGAATCTTTTGTCTTTCAGATGCCAGCAGTTCGTACAAAGGAGGCTGGAGTCACGCTACGTCGCCTGCTCCTGGCCAGGGTGAGTTTTCTTCATATTTATTTCTATTTTCATCTTCGTAGAAAATTGATAATTGGAAAAGCGATAGTACTCTCGCAATGATTTTCCTAGGTTGTCATTAGATTGGGAATAACATAAATGCTTACTCGTGTTATTGTGAAGCTGTCGTGTACGTAGAATATATAGATGTTATCATCTAGTCAAGCACTAGCAGTAGACTAAGTACTTATTGCCAATATTAGAGTGAAATTGAACAAGATCTAGCGGCCGATCACAATATGGAATTGGAATGTCCTCTTCGCTATACTATATGTCCGAATTCAAGCCAAACTAAACTATATCTCAGAATATAGTTTGATACTTTCCAAAACCGATATTTAGTCATCAGAGTGCAATGGATATCAGCAGGTATATGAGTTTTCCAACTACTAACTTTGCTTAAGACTGAAAAAGTGCTTTGCACCAAAATATCTTCTCGTGTCACGGGACCTGAAAATTAATATACACCCCTCGCCATGGAAAACATATTACCCTCCCCCACGTGCTTGCCATCATCCTCGCCTTCGGCTCGGAAGGCAATCTTGCACGTGTGGGACGGTGATCTGTTTTCCAAGGCTCAGGCATGTAATGTACTATCTTTGACACTGCTGCTACGTTCACCTTGTGCCGAGAAGCGCTTTTTCGTTAACTTGTGAATGGAAAGTCTATTCATTTACTTGTAATTCATGTAACCTCGATTTCGCCTCGGGCCGCCAACTTCACACCCGTGAAACTTCCGTCTCACTCGTATCGAAATATACTATTTGTCACCTCTACATGAAATCTATTTTTAATAATCTTTGCTCCTAGAGTCGTATCTCATAAACAAGGAGTAAAACCCTCTAAATTCATGCAAAAAACTAAACCTCGAAAACTGGGAAATAAAGATTTCGAGAGTGAACTGCGGTTGTCAAAAGGTACTTCCGAAAAGTGACTAACAAAATTATTGAGACCAGCATTGATAATTTGACTGATAGAACTTTTCTCTGTCTGGTATTTGTCCTTTAAAACTCAAGAGTGAAAAAATTTCACCACATCCTCCCTTTCGAGAAATAATTATTACCTCCGCAAAAGGAAAATGGCAAATAGCAGACAAGACGAATGTCTATGCAGATAACAAATGCACCACGGCTTATCAGCCCGTTTAGCATTTCGAGTGCTTTTTACACTCACTCCATTGACACCCCCTCCACTATCCCACAATTTTTATCTCATTCTTGTTCTCTTTTACGGTCACATATACTCTCTGTACAAAGGTGTATGGATGCAATTCACAGGATGGTACCGAGCACCAGAGGAGGACAGAAGAGAAGAGAGAAAGAGGAATCGGTTGGAAGTTGAGGCACACATAGGGCGTGGGCGTCCCGGCGCTTTGTGGCGCGTTGAACCGCGGCCTCTTTGTCGTCGCGAACACCCCCCAGGGTTAGCGCGAGGAAACCGGGAGTCACCCACCACCATTATCCACCCTGACGTCCTCTCCTCCTCTCCTACCGCCCCCACCTTCGCCTCCTCCCTCCCCCTCTTTCCCTCTCCTCATTCCCTTCCAACTCGGCGCATCTCCTGGCGTAAGCTTGGCAGCCAACCCAGGGATGATCATTGCGGAGATCACAGCTCTCGCCCGCGGGCATGCTTGTTATAAACGCGTGAAAACGACTTCTCTCTCTTTGTATCTGGGTTCATGGATGCTTGGCTAGCTCTCTGTGGTTCTCGATAAGAGCAGCAGGAGAAATAGGGGGAAGAGTGTGTTCTAGCGTGAACGCTGGAAAGCTCACTTTGTCATAAAGTTTGAACACGTGATATTGAACACACGTGTTGCCTGGGGCTACTAGCCAGGTATGAACGTGTTGATGCTGGGTTAAATCATAGAGAGAGGTTTAAAATTACTTTTCGATTGACAAAGCCTCCCTTTGGGAGAGAATTTGTGTGATATAGTAGGTGGAAAAACAAATTAGGGGGATCAATGCACATGAAAAAAATGTCAGGACTCGATATTACATATAAAATGGGTTTAACCTGGGTTTCATGGTCTCGTGATTCCAATTATAGTGGAAATAATAATGGAGGACAAGTCGAATTATATTTAAATCTTCTTTTATTTCTAAATTAACATGAAGGTGTAGTTTTACGTGACTCAGATGTTTACGATATTCAGTTGGAAGAGTCTCATTCCTATAAGTTCACTGATAATTTGGGATTGTTGTCATATAATTTTATTGTAATATGATCGGTGGTGGACAATTTTACCTTGAATACAAAGTAAAAACTCTTGAAATCATTCAATCGCTATTTTACTTGGACTGCTGGGAATTTTACGGCGAAAAAATTTCTCAATTCATTGAAAGTTTCAATTATAACTGATTGCACCCGGTAGACTGGCGCAGTACATAATTTCACTGGCTCACATGCTGGAGGTCCCGAGTTGAAAACACGGGCGGATAGAATGGTGCGATCTAACCGTTTAAAGTCTTGATCAGATTTCTCAGTATACTCAATACCAAGTCAGTGATGTAAAATAATGTTAAAAAAGTGGATGGGATCCCAGATAAGCAGCCTGGAGCAGTGAGTTAGCCACTTACATGGTGAAACAGTCGAAGTCTGATCGCAGCCAAGCGTAAGAATCAAAATGGGCTGTATGTACTGATAGAACGGATTAGTTGTTGTTAACGAATGGATTTTGGTTGGAGGTTAGGGTCTATTCGGTCCCACCAAATGTTCATTCGTTAATAGTTAACGAATGTATATTTGAGGAGCCTTGTTTGACTTGACTTTCGCCATTCAAGTGAACCATTCGTTAACTATTAACGAATATTCATTTGGTCATATTCAACTCTACCATTCGTTAATAGTTAACGAATCTCGTTTGGAATAAATGAATCATTCTATCAGTGTGCACTGATAGAACGGATTAGTTGTTGTTAACGAATGGATTTTGGTTCGAGGTTAGGGTCTATTCGGTCCCACCAAATGTTCATTCGTTAATAGTTAACGAATGTATATTTGAGGAGCCTTGTTTGACTTGACTTTCGCCATTCAAGTGAACCATTCGTTAACTATTAACGAATATTCATTTGGTCATATTCAACTCTACCATTCGTTAATAGTTAACGAATCTCGTTTGGAATAAATGAATCATTCTATCAGTGTGTATGGAGAGAAAAACTAATTATGAGATTCTGAAGATTGATAAAAACACAGAACCTCAAGAAAAGTTAGTAGAGAATTTAGAAAAAATGAATATTTAAATTGGTATGAGTGTTGACTGATTGTATCAGGTTCAGTTGTTTGCTTAGTAATTGTAGTTCTTCATCAACTAGGTAATGAGCCATTTGCCCAAACTTTTTATATACAGGGGGGTGTAAACGGCAGAGTGGTCCTTATAGAGAGCTCCTTACCGTGGAATAGAACTAGAATTACCGTGGATGAGACCAATATCGGTCGGGCTGACGTTCTTTGAGGAATTGCCTCATTAGTGACAATAATCCAATGATCGAGTCGATAAAGTAGTTTCATGGATAAAAATTAATAATTGCAGGAGAAAACACAATTCTCAAAATTCATCTAGAGACAAGGGTTCCGTTTCCTTAAGTCCATGATGCGATGAGAAGCAGATTTATGTGATTCAAACATGTTTACTTCTATTTTTCTCGTCATTTTACATTTATTCACACTACACTGAGAAAAAAAATTACTTCTGCCAAGTAAATTTACTTGCCACAAGTAAATGTATACAAATATTTGCATTTGAAATGTGTGGATTTTCTTGTAGTTAGCAGATTTACTTGGCAAAAGTAATTTTGTTTCTCAGTTTAATGGTGGCCGTATATTATTTGATTAAATCAAATAATCCATAAATATTTCTGCTAAGACGGACATCTTACCCACTCGGCTATACAGCCAACTTTCAAGTTTAGTTGTATTACATGCCACCAACTTTGATATCTCCTGCTTAAACTTATGTCTAGCTTTTCTTTGATCTTAAAAAAAGCTCATGATATCATTCCTCGAAAACCAATTTTCTCGCAAACACTCCATTATGCTCGGATATATGCATATGATGAATGAAGAAATCCTATATGGATACGTACCATAATTTTTCATAGCTACTTTCCTACGCGAGGACAACAATGCATATTCGTCAGGAAAGAAGGCAATTAACCCTCAGTAAGAATGAGGAAAGTGGCTCGCGTGACTTTTGAAACCACCCCTTTCTTTCTACTACACATACTCCTCCGTACTCCTTGACTAGGCTGACTGAGCTCAGACTAGGGCCATAATAATTACGTACCCACTCGGACGTGGCGCGTGCCAAACGTACACCGTAGGCCCCCACGGAGGTTACGTGGCCCGGCGTTTCACCACTATCGCGTGACTATCTTTTATACGTAGGTTTGTTGGAGAGCCCGATCACTGCAATCCCTAGCCACCTCACCTTGACACCCACCCTAATATATAACTAATAATACTATTCCAAACAGCACCAAGGGGGGATTTAAGTTATTTCTCATTTTTTTTCGACCGGTCACTTAACTGTTGGTGTGCGTTTATAAAGAAAGGGGGAGACTGAGATTGACTAAGTTATTTATATTTTCTCACGTGGCTCACGTGCGATAAAGGGTGAGGGCTTTTTGGAAACGAGGGCGGAAGTTTAGAACTACGTTGTTCATTTCGTTTTTCAAGTGTCGAAGTAGGTGAATGAGCTCCGCGGAAATGAAAAAAATCATTCTCAACATAATTGAGGAAAATTAGAAATTTGAGAGACTGGAAAAATATTAAAAGTTTTCGATTGTGAATTTGCACTCCTGAATGGGGATTCAAATTAGTTTAGAAGTAAAGAATGATTAATAAAATCGCATATTGATCACATACAAAAATATTGGTGGGCACTACAACATATATCTACGATATCAGCAAAAGTTTTTACGTGTGGCAACAAAATGTTCATTTGTAAAGACAAAATGTTTCGACTTTATAAGTCCACTTTT